ACCCGCCCTCCCCGTTTTAAAATCTTGCCTCATATGTACCTAGATCTCGTGTAGGGACCTCCGAAAAAATATGTAAATTTCTGTGGCGGAAAACGATTTTGGGGACCAGGCAGGATAGGAAGCTGAAACTTTGCAGAGGTATTATTCTAAGTGCTTATTGAGCTAGGGATTTCAAATTCAGTCACTGCATACGCTTGTGTAGCGTCACGTCAAAATTTGCACCTGGTACTGTGCTAACCCGAAAGTTAGCCGGAAACAGTGGCTGAAATTTTTCCGGAATATTTATCGTCCGTATGGGAAATCGTGTACCTAAAATAAGTGTTGATTTGCAGTTGGCCGCGACTTAGAACGCTTAAAAGTTATTTGTAGCGAAGTGGCTATTTCGCTTATCGGATAATGTGTAAGGCTGAAACTTTGCTGGGATATTCTACTTTTAAGCGGGGTTTTAATTGTGCTGGAAAATGAAATTCCCTGCAGGTGAGTATGAGAAATACTCAACTTTACCACAAAATCAGGAACGAGTGCATTTTGCGGCGAACGACTGCCCTCATTCTCTCGCAACATCCAATTCATTTATATATTTGGATTTTTATGCGTTTTTGCTTATATGCAAATTGCAAAAACGCGTATTGCAATGACCCTGTATGTGCGTGTGTTCGGATATTTTAACTCTGCAGTCAAGCAGTCTCCGACGTCAAAATTTTGCCAGTTGTTTCCTTAGCCAAATGCACCCCGGCACCGCGGCACCAACCCTTAAGCACGTTTTGGCTCCGCGTGCGAGCGCGTGAAAGTTTTGGCGAGAAAACTGCTAACTCGGGAATGAGGAAAGCTGGAATTGCGAGGTTATGTTCCGAGTTATGAATTTGCGCGGGAAAGATTTTGGGGGGCCCGTACGCGGGTACCATGCTTATCCGGGGGCTGGATTTGAGTTCATTAGCACCTACTTGGACGGGGAACGTTTTTCTAAAATTTCGGCTTTCTAGCATCTCGGGACCCCGAGTTAGGGATTTACGCGGGAAAAATTTTGTGGGGCCCGTACGCGGGTACCACGCTTACCCGGTGTAGCGGGTCGTGTTGAAAATGATATTCACTGTAGCGGGTCGATGAATATGATATTCACTGTAGCGGGTCGATGAGAACCAAAATTTTCTTGGGGTATATGAACTGTGAAAAGGCTTGCCGTGGGTATAGTTAAGATCCGGTTCCTCCTGCTCGGGAGGTGAGATTCGATGAGGAAGGAGCAGGAGAGTTGAAGACCAGGGAAGTGAAGCGGGCCGTTGAGAACCAAATTTTTCTTGGGGCGAGGGGCGGTGCCTCCCTATTCCACCCTTCCCTTCGTCTGTTAAACAAGTGTAAACAAAATTTCCTTCCCAGCGGCAGCGGTGGGAATCGGCGACGGAGATATTCTCCCATCTGTTTTCCCTTCCCTTTTTTCATTTCGAACAAATTTTTCCCTTTTTTCTCGCGTAGGAGTGACACTGCCGCCGGGAAAAGATTTCCAGAAACACTCGAATATTCGAAAAAAAACACGATAACTGCA